CAGGTCGAGCTCAAGATTGACATGGTGCCAGGTGTGCCCCTATTGCTAAGGCGTCGTACCGGTTAGCACCACCAGAGATGCAGGAGCTGTCATCGCAGCTGCAGGAACTGCTGGCCAAGCAGTTCATTCGGCCAAGTAGTTCTCCATGGGGAGCACCGATACTTTTCGTCTGGAAAAAGGATGGTTCACACCGGATGTGTATCGACTACCGGGAGTTGAATAAGTTGACGGTGAATAACCGTTACCCGCTCCCGAGGATAGATGATCTCTTCGACCAATTAAAGGGTGCATCTTGGTTTTATAAGATAGACTTGAGGTCTGGGTATCGTCAGGTCAGGGTCAGAGAGGAGGACGTGGAGAAGACCGCGTTCCGAACTCGTTATGGACATTACGAGTTCGTGGTGATGCCGTTCGGGCTCACCAATGCGCCAACGGTGTTCATGGACTTGATGAATCGAGTCTGTAGACCGATGCTTGATCGTTCGGTCATAGTATTTATAGATGATATTTTGGTGTATTCCAAGACCCGAGAGCTGCATGCGGAGCATCTGCGGGAGCTGTTAGGAGCTCTGAGTCGGGAACGGCTGTACGCCAAGTTCTCGAAGTGTGAGTTTTGGCTACAGTAGGTCCAGTTCCTCGGACATCTCGTTAACCAGCAGGGGATTTTGGTCGATCCGACCAAGATCGAGGCGGTTATGCAGTGGGAGGTTTCGAAATCTCCCTCGGATATTGGGAGCTTTCTGGGTTTGGCAGGGTACTACCGGAGGTTTATACGGGACTTCTCCAAGATTGCAGTGCCACTCACTCGTCTGACTAGGAAAGGAGTAGATTTCTGGCGGGGTCCCGAGCATCAAAGGGTGTTTGAGACCCTCCGTCAGAAATTGTGCGAGGCTCCAGTGTTGACACTCCCGGAGGGAGTTGAGAATTTTGTGGTGTTTTGTGATGCATCCATCACAGGTTTTGGGGCGGTCCTCATGCAAAGAGGACGAGTGATAGCTTACGCATCGCGACAGCTAAAGCCGCATGAGACGAGATAACCTACGCATGACTTGGAGTTGGGGGTGGTGGTGTTTGCTCTCAAGATATGGAGACATTACCTATACGGGGTCCGTTGTACCATTTACACGGATCACAAGAGCTTGAGACATATCATGGATCAGCCAAACCTGAACATGAGGCAACGCAGGTGGCTGGACGTAGTCAAGGACTACGATTGTGAGATTCTTTACCATCCCGGTAAAGCGAATGTAGTAGCGGACGCTTTGAGCCGCAAGTCAGCAAGGTCTTCCACCCTAGCGGTATGTATGAGGATATCAGTGGATTCTCCGATGGTGGGTTTGATCAAAGATGCCGAAGTCGAGGGTATCCGCTCGGAAAATTAGAAGCTAGAAAGGATCAAAGGTGAGGACACCCAGTTCGTGAAGGATAGTCGGGGGCTATTAACCCGATGTGGTCAGGTTTGGGTCCCGATAACGGGTGGGGTTAGGCAGACGGTTATGGAAGAGGCTCATAAGTCTCATTTCTCTATTCACCCGGGGGCCACCAAGATGTATCCAGATTTGAGGTTGAGTTATTGGTGGCCGTGCATGAAGCGGGAAATAGCTTGGTACGTTGAGAGGTGCTTCACCTGTAGGATGGTCAAGGCCGAGCATCAGAGGCCGCATGGGAAATTGCAGCCCCTAGAGATTCCCATGTGGAAATGGGAACAAATCAAGATGGACTTTATTACCAAATTGCCAAAAACAGCAAGGGGGTTTGATGCTATATGGGTCATCGTGGATCGATTAACCAAGAGCGCCTATTTCTTGGCTATTCGAGAGGGCTCATCGGCCGAGAAACTGGCCGAATTATATGTTTGGGAGATCGTGTCGCGCCATGGGGTTCCTGTCTCCATTGTCTCTGATCGGGATTTCAGGTTTACCTCTCTCTTCTGGCAAAAATTTCACGAGGAGCTGGGCACGCGGTTGCACTTCGGCACAGCATGCCACCCACAGACCGACGGCCAGAGTGAGCGGACTATTCAGACCCTCGACGACATGTTGAGGGCATGTGTCATTGATTTTGGCGGGAGTTGGGACTCCCACCTACCGCTTGCGGAGTTCACCTACAGCAACAACCATCACTCCAGTCTGGGCGCCCCGCCATTCGAGCTATTGTACGGGTGGAGACGTCGCACCCCGGTCTATTGGGGCGAAGTTGGACACAGGGTGATGGGTAGTACGGAGGTGGTTTTTCAGACTACCGAAAAGATCCAGCAAGTTAGACAGCGCTTGCAGACCACTCAGAGTCGGCAGAAGAGTTATGCCGACAAACGTCGATCTGAGTTGGAATTTCAGGTGGGAGACATGGTACTCCTGAAGGTCTCGCCCTGGAAGGGCATGATCCGCTTCAGGAAGAGGGAAAAATTCGGTCCCCGATATATCGGACCGTTCAGGATCACTGCCAGGATTGGCAAGGTGGCTTACAGGTTAGAGCTGTCAGAGGAGCTTAGTCGGATACACAGAACTTTCCACGTTTCGCAGTTACGAAAGTGCATTATGGATCATGAGGCCGTGATGTCATTGGATGATATTCAGGTCGATGAGCGCCTGAACTACGTGGAGAGGCCCGTGGCCATACTAGAGAAAAAGGTGAAGATACTAAGGAACAACGACATACCTTTGGTGAAGGTACAATGGGAGCATTGGAAGGGATCTGAATGGACGTGGGAGGCAGAGGCAGAAATGCGAGAACATTATCCGGGACTATTCACCGCAGCAGACTTCGAGGATGAAGTCTAGTCCAAGTGGGGGAGAATTGTAATGTCCCGATTCCAGGTATAAATTTAATTAAAGAATAATTGGTCTTATGACCTACTTGGCGAGTTGGTTGCCCTATTCGCCGAGTAGCAGTGGGAATGGAACGCGTGTTTAGTGACCTACTTGGCGAGTCCACCAAGGGACTCGGCGAGTAGGATCTGGCAGATGAAACCCTAAATTCTGGGGTTTTACACGCTATTTAAAGGATCATTGGCCTCCACCAGCCTCCCCTTATGCTTCTTGTCCCTCTCAAGCCCTAAAACGTGTGTGTGTGTGTGTGTTCTTTGGTGTACAAGCTTGAAGGAGTAACCTTGGAAGGAAGCATTTGAAGAAGCAAGGAAAAGCAAGGCCATGAACTCTAGAAAACTAAGGGATTGCATCAAACATCACTTTCTGGAAGGCAATAGGCTATTCCTTAAGCCCTTTTCACTTTAAACCTCCCTTGGATGGGTGTTATGAAGGACTCTCCATGTTTAAGCTAAGATCTGAAGTTATAACTTCAGATCTGGACTTCCCTTGACCTCTAGATCCATAAAGTTCCCAGATGTGAAACGTTGAAACCCTCCCAAGGTGTAAAACTCCATTAAAGAGCTTAGATTGATCATTTCGGGCCTTTAGAGCCTTGCATGTACGTAAAGATTGCAACTTTACGAAATAAACGTGCCTTAGGAGCTTGGATCTGTACCTTGGGGCCTTGCAATGGCTTATAGAGCATCTGCATGGATTAAGATCTGCATGGACTCGGCGAGTTGATTAAGGGACTCGGCGAGTCCGTTGAAGATGGCCATGAACTCGGCGAGTTGGATGAACAACTCAGCATGTTCGTTGAAGATTGCCTTGAACTTGGCGAGTGTTAGAAAACTCGGTGAGTTGGCTAGGGTGTCTCCCAAAATCTTGGCCTCATATGAACTCGATGAGTTAAAAGTAGACCTCGGTGAGCAAGTCGAGGATTCCACGACTTCTCGAACTCAGGAAGAACTCGGCGAGTCGGCGACCTGCACTCGACGAGTCGAGTCAACATAGACTTTTGACTATGACTGTGGACTTTGACTTGGACCAATGGGTTGACCAATTAAATTCTATGGGTTTCTGGGATTGGGAGATTTATGAAAAAAGGTCGTGTGGTACTTTTAGGTGGTGGAGTTCGTGTTGGACCCGGGAGTTGAGCTTTCTTATTTCCGACGATAGTTGCGAGGTGAGTTATCCTCACTATACTATGGGGTTTAAGGCACCAAGGCCGGTCCATTGGATTTGATATCCTAGTAGTTATTGTTATGTTGAGTTTGAGTTAGTAATGCATGCCAGTTGATGTGCTAGTCGGGTAGATTTATAGGATTGCATGTGATACTGATTGATTACCTGTATGTGCATTTATCTATTACATGTTGACATGTTATGTGGGGTGGGTTGAGGTTGTACTGCTCCGTGCGGTAGCTAACAAACCCGAGAGCATTCCAGATACGAGCTGAGGGCCCGATAGGCATTCCAAACTCGTACTGAGGGCTCGATGGCATTCCAGATACAAGCTGAGGGCCCGGTAGGCATTCCAGACTCGTACTGAAGGCCCAGGGGTAGTCAAACTTGTAAAGCTGTGGACCCAGTGCATGCTGTTCTGTTTTTGATTGATATTATATGCTAATGTTGATATTACTATGTGGACTGTATGTGTATCGGTATTTTGGGGGTAAATCACTAAGCTCTCGGGCTTATAGTTTCAGTTTATTGTTTCAGGTACCTTAGGGGATCGCGGCAAGGCGAAGGCATGATCACACAGCTCCTCCTATTGTTTTATGTTTCTAGGGAACCTCTGATATAAATGTATTTTGAAAACAAAGTTGTAATGTTTTGATGAATTCGACGTGTTTTTGAAAATTTAAATTTGGCTTAAATTTTGAGTGTTACAGGTTGTGGCAGGTGGTTCGGTTGTTATTGGTGGAGTGGGTGCGGTAGAACGAGCACCTATCGTGGTAGTGGTTGTGTATGTGAATATGGGAGTAGGGATGGGAATTGTGGTGAATGGTTGAGCGGTTGGAATGGGAAAATAGGAGGGATAGATACAGGGATGGTTGCAAGTGGAGGTGAAGGAGGGTGAGAGCGAACTAGAATTTCTGGGGTAGGGGAGCGAGGTGGAGTCTCACCTCGGCCAGAAGCCTCTTCATCAGAGCTTTCGCTCTCAGATGCTGAAGGAGAAGCAATCTTGTGTTAGGGAGGAACATACTCAGAATCTGAGTCACTGGAAGATTGTAGTATTAGCCTCCTAGCAGGCTTCTTCAACTTCTTCGGTTTGGGAGGAGAGGTAACAGCTTGATCATACTTTCGCTTCAGAGGGGTTTTCTCCTTGGTTGGTTTGGAAAACCGTGCCTCTTTTTGGGTTTCCGCTTTCTTACCCCTTTTTGCAGGTTTGTCAACCTCATCAATAGAGTGAACCATGGCTAGGGTAAGCTCTCTCGGACCTGAATACGGATGCTTCCTGTATTGTTGGAGAACGTTGCTCGAGGCAGAAATAGAAGCGAGCATAGCCTCCTGAATAGATCCAATAAATGAGTACTTGGTTGGATCGGTGACAATAATCTTCGTAGTATGAAAGGTAGCAATGGAGGAGAGAAGAGAATCCGCCATGATTGGAACATTAAGGCGGTCAATTGCCCAGTTGGTGATGATCGTCCAAAATCTCCCACACGAGATCTTAGAATTCCTGGAAGAAGAGACCAAGCTTTGTACCAGCTGCTGCCAGATTATAGTCCCAAAATCTAAGTTGATCCCATGGTACAACCCATAAAGAACAGTCATGAAAGACTTGCTTGCACCATCGGAGCCAATGCTGCGCTCAGAGAGTCCTTTGAAAATTAGCGTGAAAAGGCCATTCCATTGAGGAGGAAGGCAGGACTTCTTGAACTTGGTGATTGTGGTAAGGGTTTTGGTATATCCCATCTGATAAAACATAGAAAAAAGCTGACCAATGGTAATGGATTCAGGATTTACCAGAGATTGATCTTGAGAAAGACCAATTAGGGCACATAAGCGGTGCTTGGAGATAGAGGTCTTCTCATTGTGGATTTCGAAGTGAATCCTTTCATGAATCTTGTCATAGTAGGCAGTGGAGTAAACCAGTGAAAGGCACGACATTGGAACGACTTTGACCTTGGTGAGTGCTTCGACGAGTGGTGAGTATTTAAGACACTCAACGACGTACATTATGTAAGGCTCATAAACAAACAAAGTGAGGTTGATGATCAGGTTCTGTTGTGGTTTGATGGTGAGAAGTGGTTGGCGAACAGAAGTATCGTGAATTGATGAAGAATCTGCCATTGTAGTTGCTTGAAGAAGATGATGAACAGTAGGAGAGATCGTCGTTGTTCTTTGAGAGAATTTAGGAAGTGGTAAAGGTTAAAGAGTACTGTTCAAATCCCTTTTATAATACAAGTATGAGAGAGAAAAATCCGACTGAGATCATGGATTATTTCAAAAATAGCACCTGACTTAATGTGTGAATAGTTGGCATACCGAGGATGACGCAGGAAAGAGAAAGGTCTTTTCCATTTTGGCACACCATTCCATAATTTATGCTTTTTCAAATTACCAAACTGATTGGATAAACGATGAGTCAGCTTCCACTTTATCCCAATCGACACTCCTTGAACATTTGAATTGTCACTGCCTGTGATGCTTTATTGAACACCATTAATAGAACCAGAGTGTGGAAAATTAAAATTTTAGTGCATAGAGTGTGAAAGATAAAGAAATAAAGAAAATATTTTGGGATAAGTTGTGATGCCTTAAATAGACAGAAAACAATGGATTATGGGCATGTATCACTTCCTTCAAAGTCAAGAGAGACATTGAAGTGCTTGCTCGGTTTCCCATTAAATAACGATCAATTACTTGTTAATAAGTATTGAAAGGCATCTTTTAAAGATTATAAAGGGTGGCTCTCGCTTCAATTCATGAATTCGATACTCGACATGAGACCGAAACTGAATAAAGTACTTGTGAGATCATTGTGATCTGTTGAACAAGTAAGTATGATAACTTTTATAGTGACAAGAGGTAATATAGAAATCTCAAAAAAAAAAAAAAAAAAAAAAAAAAAAAAAAAAAAAAAAAAAAACTAGATCTTTAAGGGAAGAAAAGCCTTGGTTTTAGACAAATTCATAAAGATCACGTGAAAATAAAAAGAGATTTCTTTAGGTAACAAGTAAGCTCTGGAATATGAGAATTCACCGTCAATTCGTTGGAGGTGTTGAATTGTGGGTTTCACTTAGTACATAGTGGCATGAGACTAAGATCATTAACACATATTTTGTATAACCATAAACCTCAACGGTAAATGCTGAGAGTCTTAGGGGTTATATTGGTGATACGAAGTATAATGGAGAAAAATATTGGAGATGGTATATGAAGCGAATGTACCTCTGCTTTAAAGAAAAGAGTGACCAAGCAGAAAACTCTAAACTCAATATGAGTAGAGTAAGGTAGCTCATGATAAGAGTGAATATTACAGCCTGAATTGGGAAAACATGATTTGTATATATCATGTTATTAAGGCTTCACTCAAAATCTTTCGAGGCTTTAGTCAACATAGCACAGCATGCTTCCAGGGACACCTAAATAATGGAGTAAAATGAAATAAATAGACATGCTTGAGCTCCACCATCGAGAAATACACTTAGACAAATAAAAGTGTTAGAAAGAAATAAAAGAAAATATTTTTGTATTTTGTGAGAATTGACCAATTGAATCGAAGAGAAAAATATTTTTGGATTTTATAGGTAATTTTATGAGAATAAAAGTGAAAAATATTTTTGGAATTTTATATGTGTGTAAGAAGGATAGAAAAAGATTACAAAGAAATACAATTAAAATGCCTTGTTAAGAAAAAAAAAGCGAACGAGTTCAGAAGGACCGAACCCGAAATAGACCGAACGTTCGGTTCATTTCGGTTCTTGGTCAAACATCACCCGAAATAGACCGAATGTTCGGTGCATTTCGGTTCGCTCTATTTCACTTGTTACCTTTATGAAAGCGAAAGCGTTTTTGGTACAGATTCAGCTTGCATCATTCCTAGGCCTTGTAGAATCTTATTGAAGCTCGCTTCAGGTAAAGCCTTTATGAATATGTCTGCCAGTTGACCAGTCATTCTAACGAAGTGAATTTCTACGTTACCATCTTCGACGTGATCCTTGATGAAATGGTACCTCAGTGCTATATGCTTAGTCTTCGAATTTTGCACTGGGTTGTGACATATTCTAATTGCGCTTTCAGAGTCGCAATATAGTGGGATTTTCTTCATGTTTAGCCCGTAATCCTTGAGTTGACTTTGTATCCAAACGACTCGAGATGTGCAGGATGCCGCAACAATGTATTCAACTTCTGCAGTGGATAGAGAAACGCAAGTTTGTTTCTTTCATTGCCAACTAACCAATTTACCATCTAGAAATTGACATCCTCCAGCTGTGCTTTTACGATCTAATCTACGGCCACCTAAGTCGGCATCTGAGAATGCTTGAACAAAGAATCCTGAGTTGGCTGGATACCACAAACCGAGAGAGGAGGTTTGCTTCAGATAGCGAAATATGTTTTTCACAGCTTGTAAATGAGGTTCGCGTGGATTGGCTTCAAATCTTGCACAGCAACAGACTGAAAACATGATGTCAGGTCTACTGGTTGTAAGATACATCAGAGACCTAATCATTTGTCGATAGAGTGTTATGTCAGCTGCTGGTTTCTCCAAAGAGGGTGTAAGCTTAGTTCCAAAGGCCATATGCACTTTCACTTTGGAGTCTCCCGTCATCCTAAATTTAGCTAATAAAGTCTTGGTGTATGCCTCCTGATTAATAAAAATGCCTTCGGGTCCCTGTCTAATGTTCAATCCAAGAAAAAAGTTAATTGGACCCATTGAGCTCATCTCAAATTTAGTTTCCATCAACTTTATGAATTCAGCTGTTAGGCTAGGATTTGTGGAGCCAAAGATGATGTCATCAACATAAATTTGGACTATCATAAGGTGGTTACCTTCTCGCTTACGAAAGAAGGTTGGGTCAACCGAACCTTCTTTGAATTTAGACATTTTTAAGAAACGAGTGAGAGTTTCATACCATGCTCTGGGAGCTTGTTTGAGGCCATATACAACTTTGTTAAGGACATAACAATGATTTGGATACTTCTCGTTCATGAAGCCTGCTGGTTGCTCAACATATACGGTTTCTTCAAGTTCACCGTTGAGGAAGGCACATTTGACGTCCATCTGATAGACTTCAAAGTTCTTGTGAGTTCCATAAGCAAGAAAGATACGAACAGAATCCAATCTTGCAACTGGAGCGAAGGTCTCTTCATAATCGATTCCCTCTTCCTGACAGTATCCTTTAACCACCAGCCTCGCTTTGTTACGAATGACATTCCCTTCCTTGTCCATCTTGTTCCTAAAAACCCATTTGAGACCGACAACTGAAGCATTATTTGGAGTTAGAATAAGACGCCATACTTTGTTTCTTTCAAACTCGTTTAATTCATCTTGCATGTCTTGAACCCAATCTGAATGATCAAGCGCTGAGTTAACAGTCTTTGGTTCAACTTTGGAAACAAAGGAGTTGAACATGCAAAACTCGACTTTAGAAAAGAGCACAACCTATTTCGATTTGATTTGAGAAAGAGTTAACACATTTTCCAAAGATTCCCCAATAATTTGACTTTGAGGGTGATCTTTTGTCCATTTGATAAGTGGAGGGAAGTTTGGATCATAGATGGGATTCAATTCAGCATTTATTTCTTCCTCTAGCTCGGACTGAATGTCATCATCACCGACGTTGGTGTTCTCCCCCTTGAGGACTGAAGCCTGTTCGGTATCTGGATTGGTGTTCCCTTCTTTGAGTGGACTCTCAGAAGAGTTTGAAGAACGAGGCGATAAGCTCTAAACATAACTATCGTCAAAGGTGACATAGTATGTTTCTTTGATCTTCTTTGAGCGCTTATTGAGAACTTGATATGCCTTGGAGTTCAAGGAGTAGCCTAAGAAAATTCCTTCATCAGCCTTTGCATCAAACTTATTCCGATCCTCTCTTGAGTTGAACACGAAGCATCTTGAACCGAACACATGAAATAATTCCACATTTGGTTTACGATTGTTCAAGATCTCGTAGGGAATGATAGAGAATCATTTGTTCAAAAATGATCTGTTTTGGGTATAATAAGCAACGACAATTTCATCGGTCCAACTATACAGCGGCAAGGAGGCGAAGCATAGCATTGTGCGAGCGGCTTCACATAGAGATCAGTTCCGTCTTTCAAAGATACCATTTTGTTGTGGAGTGTATGGAGCTGAGAAGTTGTGAGTTGTTCCCTTTTCAATGAGAAAGTCTTCAAAGTCTTTGTTCTTGAATTTCAGACCATTGTCACTTTGGAAATTGCGAACAACCTTCCTTAGTTGAGTCTCGACCTGTTTTATGAAGAGCTTGAGCCTTGGAGTAGCTTCAGATTATTGCTTTAAGAAGAACACCCAAGTGAAACGAGGGAAATCATCC